CAGAATTATAATTTCACAAACTATCCTGTCTGGTAAACTACTCATTGGCTTAGACAGGAAGAAGACCTTGCTTGAGAATTGTAATACATTAAACGGCGATGACTGTTCCTTCGCATACCAACAGCTATAATTATTCAGCTGTCCAAATGGCATCCCTGCGACGTATTTTGTTGTGGCTTGTAAACTATTCAACGAAAGTTTAGTTGGGGTTGTTACCAACCCCAGGTGCGCACACTTTCCGAAAAATGAGCAAATCGGGACTTGTTAGAAAATTACATAGTTTCAAATGGTATACAGATGTAGTAGAATCTGTGATGTCTAGTGCTATTGATATACAGTATTTTCTGGGGTGATGAAAGGCTTTCACCGAGCTAATCTTTTTTTGTAGTTCATACTGTGAGGATAACTGCTGATGCTATTGTGCACATTTACGTTTATTCTGCAACATTCTTTCTCCACGTTTCCCCTCATAGCACGAAGATTCCATTCTGTTTGTATTGGACGCCCAGCCTATGCAAAAACAGTTGTTTTCCTAATCAATAAAATTGCATTGTCACCCTATTCACTATAGACAACGATATTGTAAGTGAACTGAGGATTTCTCCCTTACTTTGACTATGTGACTTCATGAAAGTACAGTTAATGTCTGGAATCCTTTCGTCCGTGGCATTGCTGTTCATATTCAGTGGTTTTAACCGATTTGTAAGCATGTTTATTCGTCAGGGTTATTTGATTTAAGCCTCAAACAGATAGTCTTCAGTTGACTGTGTAAATAAATATATTAGAAACAATTTCGAAAGGCAAGAACTCTTATAAAAGAAAATTGCCTTTTTTTTTGGCATCCAATTGCAGACTATACACCTGTACACTGGCGTGGCACAGCTGTTAACGTGCCAGAATATGGGTCTACTTGTCCACCGTAAGCGTCCCGTTACCATAAAAATAAATATATAAATAACATTAAAGGACAACAAGGAATCTTTTGGTCCATCTAGGTAGTCCTATCCACTAAATTAAAGTAAACGCTAAAAGACTCAAAGCCAGCCCTTATAATTCAAACATTTATTAAGCCTTCTCGTAAATTACCTTAAATTAATTGTATCCTCTACACATGAATACAACCCATTTCAAGGGCAACCACCCTGTTAGAAAATAAAGCTGTCTTACCTGAAGATGACTCCTATTCTGCCAAAATTTGTACCTGTGTCTCCTAGTTGTACCATTTTCACAATTAAGTACGAAAAAAGATGATACATCAACATTATCAATTCCCTTAGCAATATTAAACACCTCAATCAGATCCCCCTTACTCTTCTTTTTCTTTCAAAAGAGAACAATTTTAGAGATCTTCGATCTTAACCTGTCATTGTATGACAAACTTCTCAAAATCCATATATTTCAAATCTACAACCGTACTCTCATCTACATAAGTAGTAACCTCTTCAAGAAATGTCAAAAGATTAAGAAGATAAGATTTTCCCCCAATGAAACCATACTGGCTATCCAACAAAATCTTAAACTTTGTTTGATTAATTTGCAAAGCATCTTTTATCAGATTTTCAATTTTTTTTTTCACCACTGATATAAGACTAATAGGCGTATAATTACTGGAGCAATTTTTATCACTTCCCTTGAAAGTAATATTAACCAACTTCCAATTTTCTGACACCTGCCCGCTATTCAAGGAATTAGCCCACACATCCAATTCTTAATCTTTTTTTATAACTCTCTGGTAAATATTATATGGGCCAAGACCTTTATGATTCTTTAAACTTTCCAATTTTCTATTAACATGTTCAGAATTAATATCATCATCTTATTCAATCGTATTTCCATCTAGAAACAGTTCAGAATGAGGAATATTACTTATCTGAATTAGTAAAAATTGAAGGAAAAGTAGAGTTTAATAACCCAGCCATTCTATAATCATCACATGTTATCCTTTCAGTATCATCTCCCAAAGGCAGTATTTCCATCCTAACATTTTCCTTACTTTTAATGTACTTGAAGAAATCTTTGTTATAGATTTTTACATTTTAGCCAAACTTTTTTCATATACTTTATGATTTCCTAATTTCCTGTTTGACCAACTCTTTTGATCTTTTATAATCCTTCAAAATCTCCCATCACTGCAGTCAATTTAAAATTTATATTTATAAATCTTTTCTTTAATATTATTCTTCATACCCTTTGTGAGCCAACCTTGTTTTTTACTTGCAGCCACCCCTTTTTTGGCTATAAAGAACATGTCTATCTTAAATATTTAATAATTTAATACAATTTTTCCACATTTGATCAGTTTCTTCAACTAATCCAGTTGTCCATTTCACAGTAGATTATTCTTATCTAATCTCTTCAAAAAATTTTTTAAAATCTGGAATTGAAATTTTATTATTGCTTTCTCTATACGTAACCAAACATCAAATCATAATTGAACAGTGTTCCCAGTCTTTATCTTATCTAACCAATTCATTACTTTATTAGATTTGTTTGTAATTAAGCACGAAGCTACACAGTGGGCTATCTGTGCTCTGC